TATGATGCTGCTTGGCCTGCTGTGTTCATCCAGCTCTACACCTTGTTATCTCAGATCCTCCAGCATCTGCAGTTCCTACTATCCCCAGGACGTTATCTGGGTCTCCGGATTAACAGCCTAGTGATAATACCACGAGGTCATCACCTGCCCTATCATCCCAATCAATACAATGGTGGAGTAGGCTCAATGTGTGAATGTTCCTATGTTCCCCTCTTTAACCTAAATAAAATGAGGAGAAGCCTTGGTCTTGTTAGCAAAGTGATAACGACATGAGATTCTCACAGCTTATTTCAGAAAGCACTGCACAAATTAACTTATGTGTTATCACTCAATAAACCATAATATTTTCCAAAAGCAAATAAATAAAATTGTCTTGACGACAGAGCGGACATGAAGCACAAATATGTTAAAACTTTAATACTTTATACTTTAATATAGAGTCATTCAGCACAGAGACAGGTCCTTCAGCCCATCTTATACATGCCAACCACATTTCCTAAACTGTACTAGTCCCATTTGTCTTTGTTTGGCCCATGTCCCTCTAAACCTGTCCTATCCATGGACCTGTACAAATATCTTTAAAATGTTGTCATCGTACTTGCCACTAACACTTCCTCTGGCAGCTCGTTCCATTTATACTCCACCCGCTGTGTGAAAAAGTCTTAAGCCATCTTAAACTTATGTTCTCCAGTTTTGGATTCCCCTAACTTGGGGAAAAGACCTTTGCTATTCACCTTATTTGAGCCCCTCATGATTTTATAAACCCCTATAAGGTCACCCCTCAACTTCCTATAGACTAAGGAAAGAAATTCCAGCCTATCCAGCCTCTTCTTATAACTCAAACCTTCCAGTCTTGGTAAGATTGCTATAAATTTTTTTTTTCACCTTCTCCAGTTTAAGAACATGGCAATACACTTACTTATTTCAGAATAAATACTAATGGAATTAACAGAGTTAAAAAGGTGACAATTCTACAATGCTTTATTTTAGAAACTGTAACTTTCAGTTCACTCACAGGAAGTAGTTTGTTTCAAAACACAGTTCTTTTGCAAATTCTATGTAACCTTAGCAATAAGCAGACGTTTAGCATGTCTCTAGAGTTTAAAAAGTTGGCGTACTTATTCAAGTAAGATTAGAAAAGTTACATTTGGACAATTTACTGTAAGTAAGCTTCCTCTTCCTCACTTCACTACCTAATTTATACATGTATTTATGTGTATCTGGAAGATAAGGAAACCCTTGGTCAGCACTTTCAAGATAATGTTTCACCCCACCCACATACATTTCCTGAGCTGCATTTTAAATCTCCTTTGTTGACCTTTGGTCAAGGCAGCCATTACAATCATCATCTTCTCTGATGTGATTTCAACATATCCATCAGAAAATCTTAGAGTTGTTTCCTTCGTTGTCTGGGATCCTGATTAGGAACATGTCTAAGCTATGGAAACTTGGCACGAGCACACAACCTTTTCCAGCAACAGCATTACTAGCAGTGTCCGAATGCACAGCACCCTTCCATGGAGAAAAATGCCACAAGATGCTTCGCAGATCGGAGGAGAAAAGCAAACCCACAGACTTTGAGGGGGGTGGGGGGAAGAAAGGAGAGGTGGGTAAAGCGTGGTAAGATACAGATTGCGAGAAAGAGTCACATGGGAGGGTGACAATACAGTAAAGTGCTGCCTATCCACTCTCCAGTCAGTAAAAGTGCGGTGACCTCTGGTAGCTCACAGCCCTATGTTGTCTGATGGCTCTGGGCTCAATGTTCTCATGCAGCTGAAATGCCAGAAAAACAATTAAAATGAGCTGTCTTTGCATCACCAGCAGTACTTATTTGTATGAAAAGACCTGGTCAAGAAGTATCTTCCTCCCAAATTTTGTCTGTGTCTTTTTCTTTTGGAATCGTATTCTTTTAAAATAACATTAAGCAAGGTCTTTTACCAGCAGACATTTACTGATCCCCATTAATACTCTTTGTTAACTGAACAGGGTAGAGGTGGGTACAATTACAACTTTTAAAAGACATTTGAACAGATACATGGGTAGGAAAGGTTTAGAAAGATCTGGGCCAAATGCAGGCAAATGGAACCAGTCAGCATGGATGAAGTGGGCCGAAGGGTCTGTTACTGTGCTGTATACCTCTATGACTCTAAGAACATTAGATAGCCTTTTAATTGCACTTTGTAGCGATTATTCTTCAAAGGCTCTCATTACCCTTATTCTTCGAGGTTATGGGAATTAAAGGCAGCGAGCTATTACCCACCACCCAATTTAATGTTTATTTAAACACACCACCCTTCAGTCTCCATTAAATTTTGTTTGGCAGTCTTTTCTTAAAAATGAATTTTTCTTTTCTGTAGCATGAGGTTCAAAAAGTAATATTAAAGTGAAAGAGATAATCTTTTGGTACGGTTTACAAAATATGGACTTCAAGAGACCTTAAAAAGTAGGCAAACATCTACACTGCTTCCCAGCACAAGATTTTACGATAATTACAGACAGATAAAACCATTTGGTCCATCTTTGTATTGCTGTTCAATGTCTCTCACCTATTGGAGTTCCTTTGGGATGGATGAAAACAAATTGAACACAAAAATTAGGAGCAGAAGTAGGTAATTTGTTACCTTGAGCCCTCTGCCCTATCCAGTAGCTGATCTGATTCTAGCCTTAACCTTAGAATATAAGAAATTAGAGCAGGAATAGGCCATTTGGCTCTTTGAGCCCATTCCATCATTCAGGGAAGAATCAGACATTGCCCAATGGAAACGTCAACTATTGTTTAAATAATTCAT